GCTGGAACTGTTTAAGTTGTTTTTATTTAAGAAGTTACTACATGCCAACACCACAGCTATCAAACTTGTACTACCTTACCTATCCCTAGGTGGGTGTTGATGCTGGAACTGTTTAAGAAGTTACTACATGCCAACACCACAGCTATCAAACTTGTACTACCTTACCTATCCCTAGGTGGGTGTTGATGCTGGAACTGTTTAAGAAGTTACTACATGCCAACACCACAGCTATCAAACTTGTACTACCTTACCTATCCCTAGGTGGGTGTTGATGCTGGCGTATCGAGCTGTCCCCGTAAGATTTTTGTTCTCCTTGTAAGGTATGTGCTGGTGGGTACGAGAGTCCCTGTACTTCTTGGCTAAGCCAAAGTCGATAATATACACCAGGTTTCCTTTCTTACCCAAACCCATCAAGAAGTTGTCTGGCTTGATGTCTCTATGAATGAAGTTCTTGCTATGGATGTATTCTATTCTGCTGATCTGGTAAAGATGTGTTCATAAGTATAATCAGATGAATAAAAGATAAGAATGTTTACATATATAACACTAGAAATGCAACAACTGTGGCTCAACATTTATATACACTTCAAAAAACTTGGTTACACTGTTGACTGGACATGCAGTGTTCTATTGTATAAACACAAAATAATACATTTAATTTACACAGTGACAATACTAATCCATCAAACACCTAAACACTGTGTTACAATGGTTATCTTTTTGCCCTTCTATTTAACATGTTTTTATGCAATAACCTAAACCAAAGATAGTGTTTCTTAACTAGTAGTAGTGGTTCTTGTACAACATGAAGAGGTTTCACCATGCTGCCCTTATCAGTTCTCGTGGCTCAGCATCTGAACTACAACGGATTCCTAGTCAATAACTGAATATGTCTGTTAAACATTTTACCAAAATTACATCGCTAAACAAAACCTACAAAAAAACATTTCCCATTTCTACAACACACACACACAAGAAAAGAAGAAACCAGAACCGATGTACACACAAGAAAAGAAGAAACCAGAACAGACGTACAATACTCACAGCCGCTGCTGTCAAGTGTACAACTTATTAAATTGTAGGGTGGTAAGTATTCTTCCAAATATGGGTCCAAAAAGTACAGGAAAATTTTGAAAATTAGGTCATAGAAAAAGATTAAAAACTGGGAAGAAAAATGAATGAAAAGAACTACAAAAAAGGGAAAAAATAATAAACAAAAGAAACTGTATATTGACTACTGAGTTTTACTGCAAAACATGTTGTGGTACCATTTTTGAGAGGTTAAATGTTTCAGGAGCCTTGAGTGGAGGTTTTACTGCAAAAAATGTGGTACCACTGTCGACAGGTGAAATGTTTTAGGAGCCTTGAGTGGAGGTTTTACTGCAAAAAATGCTGTGGCACCATTGTCGACAGGTGAAATGTTTTAGGAGCCTTGAGTGGAGGTTTTACTGCAAAAAATGCTGTGGCACCATTGTCGACAGGTGAAATGTTTTAGGAGCTTTCAGTGGAGGTATGAAAAAAAAATGTTTGTGAAGAATATTTATCCTTCTTGTTATATATTTCTTTCACACTTAATTTAATCTCACTCACGAGTCCTGTAAATATAGTTACAGGTAAACTTGACTAGGACTCAAATAAAGTACTATACAGAAAACAGAGCTGGTGAGAATTAAAAATCAATCTGGTAATACGTAAATAAACTGTTCTTACGGTTTAGTGTTAATCACTAAATGCGTGTAACACATCAACAGTTTATCAATACATTCTGGAAATCTGATGATCATTATTAAAATATATTTAACACACACACACACAAATTAATGTGATTTTCTGAGCACAATATCTTCTGTCACCAGATAGACACACTAGTAGTATAAACAGTTAACTGAATTCTCATTGTGTGTATGTCAACAGGCCTCAGTCTTTTGTGTGAGCATTCATGTAAGTTACAAGATTGCTTTCCCATGTCAAAATACTGATTTTAAATACTATTTTGTAAATCATATATGATGGGCTAAAGTTTTGTGTCTACTGACTAGAACCTGTCTTCTTACACAACAACAACAACCTTGTAGACCGAGAGATAGAAGTATACATACACCAAACACGTCTGTATTATATGCAGATACTGACACTTGCTATTACACAACAACAACGACCTTGTAGACCCGAGAGATAGAAGTATACATACACCAAACACGTCTACATTATATGCAGATACTGACACTTGCTATTACACAACAACAACGACCTTGTAGACCCGAGAGATAGAAGTATACATACACCAAACACGTCTACATTACATGCAGATACTGACACTTGCTAATAACAGTGATGAAAAAACATAAAACACAAATGTTGAAAAACATAGACTTTCAGTTTTTGAATAACAAATGGCCCATGTTGTCTCACAGTAACTGAGGTCGTAAACAATTGTGATATGTGTAAGGCAGAAGTGATGAACCTTAAGAGACCACAACCTCATGGGTACAGAGTCAATACCTCACCCTATCAGCACAGTATTTGTTTCATTCATCATTAACGTCTGTCATTGCATCAGTTATATAGAACTCGACTTAAATAGTACATCTACACAGGAAACCGAATGACTTGCTACAAATCAAAATCATTAACCATTACAAATGCCCAATGGAGCATTACATGCATTTTTCAAGTTCAAAATGTCCACCATATTTCCCAACTACAGTAATGTATCAGAATTTCAAGGCATGACGTAACACAATTTAGATAAAGTAACACGTAACTGACTGAAAGTATAGTATTTATCCATGAAAACATTAAATATTACAGAACAGCTGGTATTTCTGACTGGAAATTATTTCTTTACTGAGGAGGTGTGGGAACATCCACTCTGTTGCTACATTATAAGTATTACTAAACCACACAAAAAGCATGAAACTGAACACAATTAGGCCTATGGATCTCAGCACTAAACCAACTTTACTTCAGACTCTTGTTCATTAAAATTAGTTCTGAACAAGATAAAATTAGCAAAGACTTAGAAAAATACTCACTGTTTATCAAGATACATGGTGTACACCATTGATGAAAGCAGCCTTTTAGGTTACACCAGGTGTAAAGATGAAACACTGATGAAAGGAGCCTTTTAGGTTACACCAGGTGTAAAGATGAAACACTGATGAAAGGAGCCTTTTAGGTTACACCAGGTGTAAAGATGGAACACATT